ATTCACCAACCCAACTCCACAGACCTGTTTTGCCCCTCATATGATCTTTCCCTTGACAACCAACTCTCACATGCTCAGAGCGAGATGCCCCCTTGTCTTTCCAAGAAGAGAAGTGCAAGTTCAACGTCCCTGTAGACTCTATTCTAAAAAAAGCAGGAGCACCCAACTAGCTCTGTTTTATGTAGTGGATCCATCATCTGGCCAGCCTTCTGATTTCTTCCTCAACATTGCAAAGAGAACGTTCTGGCATTTCCATCGTGTTTACTACAGGCCAGCCTCTGGGAACCATCCCAGGTAAGCATTAGACCAGCTCCAAGTTGTCCTTATGGGAATATTGAATCCCAAGCCCCAGGTAAATGCCCAACATCCAGTGTCCTAGCCAGTGCTTGCTCTAACATCCCTATCCACTCGTACCCAAGCACTCCCAGCTTCTGCCGGTATAGCAGCCACTTCCTGTAACTCCTGTGCTGCGTGCACGGATCCTTCTGGGATCAGGGTTTGTAATTCCCAGCGTGGGCTGTCCTGAGCCCCATCTGGTTACTGTGGAAGCAATGATGTGCAGGGAAATCGTGATACACGTCTTGAGAATACAGCCTTGGATTGTGAGTAACCTGTTCCGCGGGGGGTTCCACAAGACAAGCAGACATTTCTAATAAATTTTAACTATAAATGAGCCATGTCTTGCAATATGAGTCGTATGTGACGCCAAACGTCACATGATCGCAACTGAGCCAACGGTTCTTGAAATTCGCTTTGATATATGAGTGCTTTGGATTATGAGCATGTTTGGGGCCCAAATTATGCTTGCAAACCAAGGTTTTATTGTCATTTTGCATCCTGTCCTTGGGCAAGGGGTCAGGGCAATGTAGGGTTCAGGATTCTTGGCTTATGTACTCCGTGACCCTATCCCAGCTTTCAGAAGCTCTCTCTCAGACTATCAGAAAAAGTCACCATCTGACTTTGCGGGAAGAAGCCAGTCAAGGCCGTACGCTTCATATCCTGGGCAGCTATGCTATCCTTATAATCAGATCATAGGCCTGATTTTTTGGTAGGTCTTCCCCATGGCTGTGTAAGATGAGAGTTATCTCTGAAAGCTGCCTTAGATGCATGTAATATGAAAAATTGCCTTCCTAAGCCTGCCCACCACTTTCCTTTCCCAGGCCACTATGGCCAAGTTCACCAGCCCCCTGTAGTCTTTACTGATAGCATCGCCCCTGCCCCACAGCCTTGCCTTCTACCTGCTGTTCGTCTTTGGCAACCATGGATAGGAGCTTGAGAGACGCTGAGGCCCCTGCTGGGATCTGTCATCCCTGCTCATTAAGAGCAAGAGGATTCCTATTGGTTTCAGATGGGTGGCAATCCTCTTCTAAATCCCACCTGGAGGGTCTATTTTCTAGAAGACTCTGGCACCAACTGTCTAATTTAGGATTCCAGAGATAACATGGTCTGAGGCAAAGCTTCTATGCCCGTACTTTATTGTGGGATTAAACAACACGGTAACAGAAAGAAGGGAAACTAGACATTAAAGCAGGGGAAGAAGGAGAGCAAATACAAGGTGGTATGTTGAGTTGGACTCTGCTTAACAAGGCAATGGTGGGAGGGGTGCCCCAGGTTGGGGGGGAGGTTAAGTCTGGTAAGTGTCCGACTTCAGCTCAGGGCATTGTCTCACCATTTGTGAGTTCAAGCCCCACATCATGCTCTGTGTGGACAGCTCAGAGCCTGGATCCTGCTTCAGATTCTGTGTCTCCCTCTCCCTCTTCACCTCCCCTGCTCACAGTCTCTTAGTCTCTCTCAAAAATAAGCACAAAAAATTTTAAAAAAAGAAAAGAAATCAAATGAGATATCCATGGACAGATCATCTGGAACTCTAACTTTCTTGTTACTCTCTCCCACTTCCTGTGCTGATCTGAGCTGGCCATCTAGGACCCTCACCCCAGCCTGTGAGCTGTCACTGCCCTTCTGGTCAGCTGCTGTCCCAGGAAGCCCTATCCTCCACCTCAGTGTGTGTGTGCTTCATAAGAATCCAGATTGGCAGCTGGGTGGCTCAGTCAGCTAAGCACCAACTTCGGCTCAGGTCATGATCTCACGGTTTGTGAGTTCAAGCCCCGCTTTGGGCTCTGTGCTGACAGCTCAGAGTCTGGAGCCTGCTTCGAATTTTGTGTCTCCCTCTCTCTCTGCCCCTCCCTTGCTTGCTCTCTATCTCTTTCTCAAAAATAAAGATTTTTAAAAAATTAAAAAAAAAAGAATCCAGAGATGAAGAAGGAGGGCCCAGCCCTCCAGGGTTTGATCGGGTCTGGCATGGGTACCTGAGGGTCCCCTTGTGGTGGGTGTGATGGACATGATGGTTGGGGTCACCAAGACATTCCAGTGAGTGGTCAAGGGCCCAGGGGTTGATGTGCCTAGTGAATATAGGAATCATGTTCACCCACTATGTGCTAGACTCTTCGCTTAGAGTCACACAGTACCTTTAATCCTATCGACCGGGGATGGATGTATTATACTTTCGACAGACAAGGAAACTGAGGTTTTGTGTTATGGATCTGGCAAGCAGCAGAACAAAGCTTCCAGCCCAGGACTGTCTGAAAAGTACAACACTCCTTCTCCAAGCCAATGCTCCTTGTCTCCTCCCCAGCTCCTCTCTCTCCCTCTCCATGGTGCACCTCATCGCAGCACGTCTGTCATTCCAAAAACGTCAAGATGGCGGTAGCTATTTTAAAACACGTTCTGAGGCTGGGTGGGGAAACGGGGTGGTCGTGGTAATCAAGCATTGGTCTGACTTCAGAATAACACAAGAAGGGGCGCCTGGGTGGCTCACTAGGTCAAGCATCCGACTTCAGCTCAGGTCATGATCTCGCAGTTTCTGAGTTCAAGCCTCGGGTTGGGGTCTGTGCTGACAGCTCGGAGCCTGGAGCTGCTTCGGATTATGTCTTCCTCCTGCCCCATGCTCACACTATATCTCTCTCAAAAGTAAATAAACATTAAAAAAAAAAACCCCAAAAGAGTAACATAAGAAGACTTTTCTTTCATGTGAGTCCCCTGGACAGGACACTCCCACACAGCAAATGAGCTAGTCCAGTTTGGGGCTGACATCACAAACATCCTGATAAAATTATTCCCTAGTCAATCCCTGTGGCCCATCTACTATTCTGATGTAGTATTTTCACCTCGCTAATTAAACAAACGTCCTGTCTTCCCACTGGAGCCACCCAAGGTCAGGTCCATGTAAACAGCATTTTTTTTATGCAGTCTTTGAACCTTCAGTGAGCATGATGCTGTCCCACAGCCTTGAAATAAAATAACGGCGGCGCCAAAGGCCGGAAGGACCGGGAAGGAGTCCTAGCAGCCCTGCCAGAGAACATAAGAATTAAAGATAAAATCGGCTTTTGTTGGCAAGATGGAAAGAAATGTAAGGTTTTTTTTGTCTTTTTTGTTTTGTTTTGTTTTGTTTGCCTTAATTCATTCAATTGAGAAGTCCGGAAAAAGTATTGAGCTTCTACTTTATCCTGTTATATATTGTCTTTGTATTCTTTTGCCATCAAAGATCTTCAGGCACAAATAGAAGTGCAATAATCATATTTACTCAGCCACATAACCTTTGACTTCTTTGTTTCTGGTATATTTTGAGAAAGTGAACAAAAGTTTCCCACTTCTGTCTAATGTCTTGCGCTGTTTTTGGTAGCAGAGATTGGCTGATAGAAAACGCTCCCAAGATTCAAAACAAAACACACATTTCTTTTTTTAATGTTTATTTATTTTTGACAGAGAGACAGAGCACAAGCAGGGGAGGGGCAGAGAGAGAGGGAGACACAGAATCCGAAGCAGGCTCCAGGCTCTGAGCTGTCAGCACAGAGCCTGACACGGGGCTTGAACCCACGAACCGTGAGATCATGACCTGAGCTGAAGTCGGATGCTCAACTGACTAAGCCACCCCGGCGCCCCAAAACACACATTTCGTGTGCCAGAACCTGACTGGCAGTAGGGGCAAAATAATATATTTAAAGAGAAGCTGGCTGATTAAGATGGACTGGGGTTGGACGAAAGGGAAGTTGGCTCAGTATTCCATCACCACCTTCCCCTAAATGTTCTTGTCCTTTTTGCCTGAGCTTTGCCCCTCAGTAATGCCACCAGCGTGGGCAGTGGCAGAGGGAGAGGGACGCGTTCCAGCTGTGACACAGACTGTGCCACAGGGCAGGGGGCAAGGGGACCTCTTTCGTTCCAATGGGGATGCCAGACACCCTTTGGTGATGTTCACGCGACGACCATAAATGTAAACACGGTCAAGTACTGCTCTCCCAGACATGAAGCAGGCTTCCTCCCAACGCACCAGGCAATCACGCAGGAATCACAGGGACTGAAGACAGAAAGGCTGCATGTGTGTGTAGGATGAACTGGAATGTTTTGATAAAAGGAATAAACACAAGCGCCTTGAATAGAAGGTTCCAAAGCTAGCAGGTAAGTCTGAAAGCTATCACGTGGGACTGTCAGACCCACAGTTATTAAAACCCTATAAATGTACACTTTTGTGCAAAGTGGGGGGAAAAAAGAACATAATGCAAACCCTAAAAATAGTATTTAGTAACCTTAAATAAAAAGACACGAACACAACTGTAGAATTTATTTGTACTTTATTAACAATGTGGCTTACAATTTTTTCAAGTAAAAAGGGCTTTTTTTATTTAGAATAAAAATTAAAATATAACTCTGATATAGATTTTCATTTATTTACATGAAAACATATATACAGAATTCAATCTTACAGCAAACCAAACAACATGCCCTTTGTCCTGCGAATGTCCAAAAGAAAACCATGAATTTTTCCTTTTACACACTGGAACGGTACACGAGATATGAATCGAATTCCATACAAACTTCTCAAACTGGAATGTAAAATAGCAAAAGGGCTTTGGACTTTCACAACTAGGAATAGTTTTTGCTTCCAGATAGCATGCTAGCTCCCATTCTGAACAACAAATGAGATGATTTTGCTTTCTGTCATTTCAAAAAAAAAAAAAAGGTCTCCAATTTCCCACTGCGAGTGGCTTTTTCGGCAAACGTTGGGGCCAGAACTCTCCTTGTGTTCAGGGTGGCCCTCAGGTCCAGCCGCAGCGCTGCCCTGGCTTTCTGGCTTGCTTATAAGAGACCTACCTGCTTGTCGGTGCAGAATCCTGGCCATTGAGAACAAGCCTGTAAGATGGAAAGACTACCTGCCCAGGAAATTGTTTTGGTTCTTTTTATCACCTGAACTGCAGATGCCTTTACACCAAAACCCAAAGCAGAGCCACGTGTCAACAATGACAATGTCTTGGGTAAATTAAGCGGGTGGGAAATAGCATGATTCGATTCTATCACATCAGTGTTTTGGGATACTTGTAAGCCCATTCTGGTGATAAAAGCCAGGCGAACCTGCTTAAATAGTCAGCTGAGTTAAAGGGAATAAAGCAGTTTCCAGAAGACTCTTGAACGGAAAAGAATGGTAGACGATTAAGAGAATCACGACAGTATCAGGCTGCAAACAGAACTTTCCCTTGCAATTAGTTATTGCACCAAAAGACACGGGCAGTTATGTACACGTCTTCAACGACTTCTTCCTTAAAAATTACAGACACCTTAATCTACTATGTTTCCCTTCAAATCATTGCACACTCGATCACGGCGTCCTAAAGACAGAACAGAGTACGTGGACTCCAGGGTCGCCACCTTCACCAAGAAATGACAACAGTTCTCAACCCACAACAAAGGTTATAACCCTACTCTTTTTATAGTTCTATGTACAGAAATCAACAGAAATGGGCGTTCTACCAAAGAAGTATGAAAATCCCCAGTGCTTGCAAAACGAAAGGAGATCGCCTCCTCAGAAAGGTGTTTGGCGTAAGATAAAAGGCAAATCTCAGGACTTGCCTGGTAACAACACTCAAAATTCTGAGAGGCAAGCTAGGGCGCTCAGACCGAGCTTCAAAGACTGAGCCAAATCAAGTCTCTGGAGATCATGGGAAGGGTCAGAGAGGCCGGGGGCAAAGGCTTGGGTCATTTGAATTTACCGAGGAACCAATCAAAGCAAACAAAGGAAACGCTCTTTCAAACATGGATCAAATAAGGTAAAGCAACCGAGAAGCCGTGCAGCTCCAACGCTGCGTGTGAGTCAAACTTTGATCAGATGAACCTACTTTTAAAGGTGACGGGTGAGTTCTCTGTATGATGCAACTTTGCGGCGAAGGAAACTGGTTTCTGTTTTTTTGTTTTTTGGGTTTTTTTGGTGGTTTCTTATTTTATCTTTTCCTAATTTTTTCAAAAGCAAAGAGGTTTGCCCGCTATGCCAGCCATACCCTACTCCTGTTAGGTTTACACGGTCGTGGGAGGGGACGGCTTCCTAACACAGTGCAGACGCAGTCAGGAAGGCAGGGGCTGAACCAAGTCCATTCGTTTTTGGATGGGATCGTGTGGTGACTTTCACCATTAAAGACACGGTGGCCATTTCTGCTTCTCCAGTCATCCACGCTGTACAGACTGAAAAGTGTCCGCGTGGCCTGGAGGCGACACAAGCTTCTCGGCACCTCCGGGATGTAATGCAGGACCTCGGTACACAGCGGGCAGGGCTTTGGTCCCAACGTATTATCAAAGAGACAGAGTGGACACTGTAGCATCTGGGGCTGGAGAAGGGAGGGAGGGGTGTCACCTGTTGGTGTTTCGACCAAGAACCGTTGGGCGTGGGCCCCGGTGATATGTGGGGAAGAGGTGCAAAGTCAGCACCACCTGCCGCTGGAGACACAGTAACGACATGGTGTAAAATGTTCTCTGGAAACTGGCCCCAGTTGTAAGACAGAAGCTGGTGTGGGTAAATCCTACAGAGACGAGAAATGGGCGCCTTACCTTCTGGAACCAAATGGCGACTGATGTGGGACACGCCCACCACTGGAAATCCCCAAAGCAGCAAGCTCAAGAGCACGTGGGCAGCACTCAGAGCAGAAGCATCTTCTTGCCCCTAAAATGTTCCTTGGCTCTCGACAGGGCCAGGGGGTGGCCCAGACACGACCTCTGTGACAGTCCTCCAAGGGCTGTGTCTTCTACCTGTGGCCCCAGCCACATCTTCCTTACTGTTTCATGCAGAACCGCGGTGGGTGACAGATCGCCGCACTAAGAGGGACTGAGGACGAGGAGCGTGTTGGGCATCTGACCTGTCGGGAAGCTGGAGGCTCCCCCAGCAATGGTGGCCATGTCCTGCCCGGGCTGTCTGCGGGAGGACCTTCTGGCTCCTGAAGGTGAGGCATGGGGGAGGGGAGTGGGGGTCCAGAGACACCCACAGGATGTGCCTGCTCCCGTGGCGCCTTTCCTTGAAAGGGCATGAGAAGTTGACATTCGTCCCGAAAGTACAAAGACACACTGCAGCCACCACATCCCTTCGTTTCAAATATAATGGGAATAGCTCAGCTCGGAAGGCCAGGGCGAAGGATCCTAAGTGAGTCAGCGTGGCAACGGTGACCCCGCGGTGGACACCCTTTCCAACGGACACCACGAGGCTGAGCGTTTAAGGCTGGAAGTATGTGGCTGAGAAGGCAGGGGTGGGGAACTGAGAGGAGGCTGAGTCTCGAGCCCAGGGGAGAGAGGCCGGGCGGCAGGCACCTCGGACGCCTCCATCCTGACACCACCACCAGGCACCAGGTTAGGACACGGGCCCTTCCATCAGGGGCCCCGGGCAGACCCACATGCCAAACGCTTAAAATGTGGTGGTGGAAATCAGCTGTGGGGACAGAGCAAAAAGTCACCTGCAAAGTAAGTCTCCCATCTGCCTCGGTGAATAGGACAGAATGCTAAGAACAGTCAGCAGCGGTAACCAAACTGCAAAATCAGAAAATCGTGCCTTAACAACGTAGCTGCAACACGACGGCTAACGAGCCCGCGACATGTTTGTCCAGTTGCCGAGACTCGAATCGAGGAGCAAACATGGAGGAAGGAGGGTAAAAAAGAGAAACCAAAGGGCATGTGGCCTCTGCTTCTGGTGTCCGCCTCCGGATAAGTCTGAAGGCTTAGTTTTCCTTGAGCACGTTCTGAAAGGCATTTGGACACCTGCCACAGCGGGGATGGGGGGTGCGGTGGGGGGAGCAGTCCATTTGGGCTTGAGTGAACATACTGGGTCCCTCAGGGGCACACGCACATGAGGTGCCGGTTACCAAAAACCTGCCAGTCCTCAGAGCCAGAGATCTCTCTTCAAGTGACTTAGGCGATTTGACGAAAATCGTCCCAGAAACCAGCAGCCTCCGGCCAGGAAGCAGTCAACATAGTGGACATGCGCTTCTTCCTCACCTACTGTGTGCGTCTTGTGTCAGCGGATCGGGACTCTCAGCTGGAGTGGGATGGGGACGAGGTCACCCAAGAGCACAGATGATGGGTGGCCGTGCTGGCGGAAGAGCTGGGCAGGGCCAGGTCGCTGCTGTGTTTCCCGTCAGGAACGCCCACTTTCTCACGCGTCCCAGGGCCGGACACATCGGAGTGGCACTCGAAGCCAGTCTTGTCAAGAGACTCACTGCAGGACCCTTTGAAGGGGATGTCGCTGGTTTATTCAAAGATTCCTGAAGCTTCTTCCTGCTCCTGCAGTTAAGCTTTGCCTTCAGTCCACAGCTCAGCATTTCCCAGCAGACTAAAAGAGTCATTCCCTGATCCGGTCATGATTAAATGAGAACATCAGCCACACGTAAAGTTCTACAAAAGATTGCAAACGGGACTCTCTACAGGCTCTGGATGTCCGTCGCTCAGGAAGAAGTGCCTCATCGCAACGACACCCCACCTGCCTTCACACCCTCTCCTTCCTGGAAGGTGCCTCTGATGGGCGATGCCGCTCTAAGCCATCCTTCTGTAGCCACATCCTGAAACGTGGCCTGCAAGCGTGTCTGGGAAATGAGTTGCCACCAAGAGCACACCACGGTGGCACTCATGCAGTGATAGCCACGTGTGCCGTGCGATGCAAGAAGCATCTATAACGACCATAGGAAACCTCCCAGCCGGGCGCCCTCCTTGGGCACATCCAAGAAAGACACCAACTGCCTCTTTGTCTTCAAAGCAGAGTGAGCTGTGGTTTGGGAAATGCCTTTGCGGGGAGCTGCCTGGCTTTAGGAGGGAGGAAGGGGAGACACAGACGTACAAAGGAGCTCTTCTGTGTCTGGCAGCGCCCAGCCCTGTCCAGGAGCCACAGCTGCAGTAGCGAGTGGGCCCAGAAACATGGTAACATCAACAGGCTGGTGGGTGAAGGAGGTCAGCCACACTTTCTGCTTTTCAGTGCTACTTTGTGCATGTCCCATCCCACAGCATCCCCGAGACATCAGGTCACCTCCCGAGAGGGCAGCCTCAGTTGGCGTACTGGGCATAAAAAGCCACCTTCACCCTCTCGATCTGATGGCAGAGCTTGATGGCGGGCCCCAGCTTCAGCTCCATGCACTCCTGCACCGTGGGGAGGGTCAGCAACAGGAGTGCTTGGCCATCAATGTCCTGCGAGGAGACAAAGCCACATTAGAGCCGTGACACCAGGCACCAAGGGAAGGCATCTGTCATGGCGGACTTGGCCCTGGGAGCCAAGGGCGTGAGGGGTGGCTGCGGGGGGTGGGGGGGAGGGATGAAGAGGTGAACAGTCAAACTGCTGTAGGACTTCTTCCTTCTCAAGCGGATGGGCCCTGCTGGTAGGGCCCCCCCCCCCCCCGGCCGCCCCAGTCCCTCCGATGTCCTGCTGTGACTTGTGAGCACAAGAGAAGAGCTCTCTCCTAAAAGAAGCAGCGCTCTCTCTTCCTCACCCTGGTCTGAACTTCCGCCATCGGAATGGGCAAGAAGATGCTGGAGAGATATGCCGTCACCCGGAACAGCTTTCCACTGAGGAGCACATGGATGTTTGGACACACACAGAGGCAAACATCTCCATCTGCACACCCGCATCACCCAGAATGAGGCGTACAAGGTGTGCTTCCCCGTTTTGCATGAGTTAGCCACCGGGGTCTACATGAGGAAGATGTTCATTTGAGAGTGTGAAGCTGCTTTCACAGCAGGAGCAGGGGCAGGGGCTCACCGCAAAACTTTGCGATCACCCTAATGGGCACCTCTGCCCCTTCGCCAGCATGCTTCCCATAACAACCGATTTTATTTATGGAGATGTTGTTTGATTGAGTTACTGAGTTGAAGTGCAACCCTTCCTCCTATCCACCACGACAGGCTTTGTGTTCCAGAGGAAGTTAAGAGACTTCTCATATTCCAGGGGAAGAAAGACAAGGTAACAATAAAGACCAGTGGTAGAATGAGCGCATAAAATGAACTCAGTGCCAAAATTTCTGCCATCTGCAGAAGAGAGAACCCCATAAAATGAACCAAAGGCACCATAAGCCACAGGGACTTAAGAGTCACAAACTGCACACGAGCTTGTGAGGTCTGACATCACATATCATGAGCTACACAGAAGCTTCTTTCCTAAAATAATGGTTTATTTAACTGTCTTAAAAATATCAAAAACAAAAAAAAAAACCAAAATACCAAAAAGTGTTGACCTTGGGGAGACCAATGGTAAGAGTCCAAGAATAATTAATGTATGATCAGTTTCAAAAGCCACCTTCATGTGAGAATAATCCCTAATGAGTGTGGAGGCAGCAAAAATTAAGCATTCATCTGCAAGTGTAGCTAATTACATCTAAATTATGTGAGCGCTGGCTATGACGTACATGATTGCAAGCTTTGTCTCAACCAAGACTCGAACCAGATCTTATCAAACGCCAAAGTAAACCTATCTGTCTTGAATATACACTGAAAGTAGGAGATAAACAAAAATGTCAATGAATGTTTGATGCTGTATTGACATCATTTTCCCGTTTCTACAGTTACTTCACTTTCTCTTTGGATTCACTCTGACTGTAGTAAGGGCAAATTTAAAGTACTGAAAAAACAGTGTCTTGCTCAAGATCATGAACTAAACAATAGTAACCGCTGACCTGGGGCCTGTAGAGCCGACTCCATTGTCAGAGGCAAAGCCACATATATTCTGTCAAAACTTGACAGAGAGGATGTAGGCCTCGGGATACAAAGTCTCGTGAGTATCATGGGCCTCATAAAAATACACTGTAAGTAGGAAATAGGATGAGGCTATAAAACCATGTGCAGGTGGCTTAATCATTATGTTTAGTGAATAATGGAACAGAAACTTATTTCAGGAGATGGGAAGATTTTTTTAGGTGGAATTTAGTGCCAAAAAAGCTAGCTGCTCTATCTAAGATCACATTGTTAGAGACCAAATTGGAATTAGGACCATGGTTTTCTGATATTAAACTTTGGAGGGAACACTGTGCTGTAAACATCTTAGTCATAATGGCCATCGCTGGACATATGGATTCTATTACAATTGAAAGTCAGCCCTAAAAACTTACATCTAAGGGACCAAAGAGACTCATTATGGGAAGGATGGACCCACAGAAGGCACGTAGTTCAGGAGAGCATGTATTCAGGGAAAGTTCAGAGACATGGAAGGTAAAGCTGAGATGGGACCAGACAGCCATTAAGAAATTGGGACTTAGGCTAAGGTGTGTGACCAGAAGTTGCTAAAGTGCCTGAGGCAGAGAGGTTGCACTGTAGGATTCGAACACCTGCACGCTAATTCTGGCCACAACTTAAAGGCATGAATTAGCAGGCAGGGGAGGGAAGTTCCGAGGGGCTGAAGGTGAGGCCCCACCTCCTACACCACCACATTGGGAGACAGGATTTCAACACACGCATGGGGAGAGGGGGCGGCAGCAACGTTCAGGCCACAGCACAGGTGCTGTGCACAGTGACGGGGCTCCTATCCCGAGAGACATGCAATCTGCTGGGTGAGCCGTGACGCACCCCTGCCCAGTGTTTCTGGACGTGCCTCCACCAGCCTGTCCCCTGCTCCCCAGAGACTCTGCATTCTTTTGTGGAGACCTCACGTGGGGAGAGATTAGGAAGATGAGAGTCAAGTGTTTTAAGCCACAAACATCCTCCAAATAAAAACTCACAGCTAGTGGTGAGGGTGAGCTCAGGTCTCCAGTCCCCAGGTAGAAACTTCAGGATGGCCCCTCACCTTGTCTGTTCTAACCCTAGCGGGCCTTCTGCCGACGGAGGGCAGACCCTGGGAGTGAATGCAGTGGTTACAGAGCTTAGAGGCCACAGTCCCGAATCTTCCCAATACCACCTGAGTGTTTATCCTGGGGGCGCTACCGTGCCTTTCCAACGTGGAGAGTCTGGTCCCCCTCAATAAACTGCTCCTTGGACACCACCCCCCTTGCCTATTGGGATAAACATGCTTGGTCCTGAGATCCTAGAATTCATTGTGCCGTCGCTGCCAGAGCGCTTGCTGCTCGTCAAAGTCTAAGGTCACTGAGATGGTGAGCAAGGGCTCTGAGGGACTCAGGGTGTCTGGTACAGCCATCAGCGCATGATACACGCGCAAACATTTCCTGGAGGAACAGATGTTATAGGACAGGCCTCACGTCAAGTCAGGCCTCGAGATCAGCGCTATCGCTGCTGAATGATCTTACAACACTGGCCAGAGAAGGAGGTCTCTTTCTCGGGACATCTTGGGGGAAAATGGGCTGTTGAGACTGGTGGCATCACTTACCAGCGATCAGGCACGCCCACCCCTGCTCTCTCGGGCCCCCGTGCTGCGGGGCCGAGGCTGGAACCGTGTTGCTCCCTCCTGCAAAGGCCCTCACGAACCTCGAGGACACGCTGTGTCCACCTCCCGTCTCCTGCCAGAGACGGCGGACAGCCTGGTGCTGCGCAACCCTTTCCCCGACCTCCCCGCTCTGACTGCACCACCCCCTTCTCTGTCCGCTGCCGACAACCGTCCGTGAGCCCGTGGGCCCCGGGCGACCAGGAGCATTTAGGATCGGGCGCCGAACTGCCCGCTTTCCCTCCCGGGTGGCAGCCTCCAGGGTCTGCAGCGAGGGGAAGTTGCAGAGCTGTTCAGACAGACAAACCAAACGAGAACGAGGGTCAGGATCATACTGAGGGCCTCTGGACCGTTATCAGATCCCAGCCCCCTCCACCCTCACCCCAACACACATTCACCTGTCCTGCAAACGGGCAAAGCCAATGCGGGAGTGCTTTCCAGGCCCTCCTCCCTTCTGCCCTGTGAGTGCCCAGGGGGCTCCGCCGGTTAAGTATTCAGCTCAGGTCATGATCACACAGTCTGTGAGATCAAGCCCTGCATCAGGCTCTGTGCCGACAGTAAGGAGCCTGCTTGGAATTCTGTCTCTCTCCTCTCTCTCTTCCTCTGCCCCTCCCTGTTCGCACTCTCGCTCTCTCTCTAATTAAATGAATAAACTTAAAGAAAAAAAGAGGTCTCGGTTTTGAGGCCACGGTTGAGGGGTGGAGAGTCCACGCTCTGAGGGGTGAGCTTGGAGCGCAGGCAAGCTGGACCGGATGGGCGCATCTGCCCCCCGCAAGCAGGTGCACGTGGGCTCGGGGTCTCTTGTGCCCCGCACACAGCCCACTGCACCGGCACTGGCAGAGTGAGCAACACCCGGCTGAATGTGTCTGCACACACGTGAGTGTGCAGGAAGACAAAGGTCACGGACGGGCTGGGGCACGCGGCTCGGACGGCAGAGACCTTCACCCTGTGTCCCTGGAAGAAGCTGTCAACAAGTGGGCTGGGGTCCCGGGCCGGGCGAGCATTCTGTGCAGTTCGTCTGCGCTGAACCACCTCGGGGCCTCTGGCCGTCACCCCTGTTCTCAGCGCATTCTCCTTCACCCCGATGCTGTGGCACAGAACTCCTTCCTGCCTGTTCTCATTCAGAGGTGGGTGCGTGAGCAAGAGTTTAAGGGGTGCCCCTGCTTTCTAAACACCGAAGCGCCCTGCTGCAAGGTGCTGGGCTTAGCAACCCGACCACCGGACCGTCACGGGGGCGGAAGAGGCCGTAGAGGCGGCTCAGTGGCCTCAACACCGTGGGTGACCGACGCGTGGGCCGCCCGACGCTCTCCCGCGGCCGCCATGCACTCCGGGGCCCCACGGCTGGGGAGACGGGCGGGCGAAAGCCACCCCGGGCCCGATGCTCACAGACACAGCACGGCGAGGAGGGAGGGCCCGGCGCGGAGGCTGCCCAGCATCGCGAGTGCAGCTTTCTGTGTCTTCATTTGAAAACAGTTACTCTTCCTCGCTGATTATGTAGTTACAGACCCGCTCACCCCCCGGATGTATTTTTTACAGATCGGCCCTCCCATACTTCTGAACTGCTGGCAAATCACTAATCGTGTTAAACACGGAGAAGGACCATAAACAGACTACCAATTTTGAAAAAGTGAACTGCGGTAAAATAATGTGAAGGCAAATGCTCATCCCACACAAAATTAAATTTGTTCGGGTGCAGAGGTCAGAGCAGGGCTCAGCGGTTCCTCAGCAGGGATATCTGTGTCTATGGAACCGGAGAGCAGACAGAGTCCGTAACCCAAGAACTACCCCCCCGAGTTTCTTTTATTGAAGTAAATCACTCACTGGGGTAGTCTGCTCAGTATACGTGCATCTCTGGCTCATAAGAAGTATATGAGAAGGCAAAATTATATTTAAGGGTTTTGTGGGTTTTTTTTTTTCTTAGTTATAGATGCGTGGAGTTTTACTGTAACATACACGTTGGCAGCACGAAATTACAGAACAGAGATGTTTTAAGCTGTGGCCATAACACTTCAGAGTTCAAGGCGTGCCTTCCGGTAATGGGAGGTTTACACTTCCCGCCGGCGCACCTGAGGATCCTGACGGCTTCAGAATGGCGCCATCGCCAGTCCACACACTGCGATTTTGCTTCCACGCTGGTGAGCAGAGCAGCCCGCTGGCTCCTTCGGGCCATCTCAAAGCTCATGCCACGGCTGGACTGACCCACAGAGGCCTCACCAAATCATGACCGTGGCACTTGGGCTCCAAGATGACAGAACAAATTCATAGAAATTAGTAATTATGGGCCTGATCAAACAGAAAAGGCCTCAAGTCCCACACACTTCAGATAGCAGAGAGGGCAACAGCCTTTTATGGTGACCAGGGTGGGGGTGGGGGTTGGGCCTAGTGTGAAATCTGAAATGAAACAGGAACAAGGCTTTTTATCAGTTAAAGCCTATCTATTTTTCTGTCTATAAGTCGTAAAAATGTAGGTATGTAGGACCAAGCTTTTAATCAATGTATTAAGAAAAGGAATTGGAGACAGGGCCCTGCCCACTGCCTGGTTCTAGAAGTGGTAATGAAGCAGGCAAGCTTCACTCCTTAGACAGGCTAGCCTGGGGAGACAGAAACTTCCCGAGATACTGTAATAAGCTGGATTTAGAAGCACAGTTAAGGACAAGTCAGCATGTGTAGTATTTTAGCCTTTTTCCCAAGTCAGCTTTCTTGCTTAGTATTAGAAAACCATGGGGGTGTGTGGGGGCTCAGTTGGTTAAGCGTCGAACTCTTGGTTTTGGCTCAGGTCATGATCTGACAGTTCGTGAGATCGAGCCCTGCATCAGGCTCCGCACTGACAGTGTGGAGCCTGCTTGGGATTCTCTCTCCCTCTCTCTCCGCCCCTCCTCTGCTCGTTCCCTCTCTCGCTCTCTTTCAAAATAAATAAACTTAAAAAAAAAAGAAATACTTACAAAAAGAAGAAACCTGTAAAAACAATCACACTCGAGCCCGTAACTGAGGGAGAAAAGCTCTGTGCCCAGTTCTGCCCCCAGCCCTGGTAAAAGGTACTGCTCAGTCAAAACGCGGCATTTGGGTCTACAAACGAAATCAAACGAAAACACAATTGTAGACGCTCTCGAACACTACCTTCCACACCTGCCTTTTGAATATCAGAAGGCCCGTAAACAGACGCTCTGTCAATGTACACGGAACAAACACATGAAAAAACAGATCCAGACGCCAGGCTCTGGGTCAGCGGCCTTTGTCACAGCACCGCTACCAGTAAGTACCGGCCCGGGAAGCCCTGCATGAGGCAAAGCTCTCACCACGAGTTCAACCCTCTGCTTTACCCCTGTCTTCAGGATAGAGATGCTCCAAATCACGCAAGCCTCACGGTTGTTAAGAGAATCCTTTTGCTCGTGTGTTATAAATGAAGGGACATGCTCATTGCCAAGTTCTCTACCTCTGATGCAGCTTTTCTCCTTCTGTCTGTTTTTACGGTCCCTCCTAGAGGAAGTGCTGATAACCTCAGAGAGCAAGGTGACCCTGCCCCGTGGCCACCGTTCCCTCCTTCACGTGCACCGGCTGCGTGTCTACAAGGAGCCTCTGGCGGTCCACCCATCGGGACGTTTCAGTGTTTTACGTGCTCCCCTCTCCTGGGAGAGAATCTGGGGGATCACTGGGTGCAGGCGGAACCGGAGGCCTCTCTTTCCCCTTCCTGACTTAATGTCCGAGTTACTGTCTTTCTAGAGTATCGGTCTGTAGGATCTACAAAAGGCCTGGATAGACACACCTTTCATTGATTAGATGGTACACGTTTTGTTTTTTTCTTTATTTTTTTTAAATGTTTTATTTATTTCTAGGAGAGAGAGAGAGAGAGAGAGAGAGCATGAGCAGGGCAGGGTCAGAGAGAGAGGGAGTCACAGACTGAAACAGGCTCCAGGCTCAGAGCTGGCAGTCAGCACAGAGCCCGACGCGGGGCTCGAACCCACGAACCGCGAGATCATGACCTAAGCGAAAGTCGGACGTTTAACCGACTAAGCCACCCAGGCGCCACTGTTTTTTTCTTTAAACGCAAGGTCTCAAAAGACAATGTTTACACTGTGAGACACCATGAGACATGGGGCGAACACGGCGGCACGAGTCGCAGGCTTTGCCTGGAACTTCCATGTGAGGCCTGCAAGGGGCCTGCGAGGGGCATGCGTCCAGAGGGGCGGCTTGTTTCCATGGCAACTGAAGGGGCGATGGAAGCCGACCTTTCCTGTGGCTCGTCGCACGTCTTATGTTCTGGCTAATCAGTCATCTCACCTGAGGAGTCAAAATGCCGCCGTCCTGCAACTACCCCCATCCTTCCGCGCGGCACCTAACACGCCCTGGGCTCTTACCATTTTTACAAGCGTGAGCACGAGGCTGATATGGAGGACATTAGGTGAGACACAGCAGAACGCGGAGGAGGGGCAGACACACTCTCCCTGTTTCTCCCGCTAAATGAGATGAAAAGCCCTGCGTGTGATGAGTGAAACGCACATGGGGCGGAGGAGGGGCGCCCCAGCAGAGCCGGGGGGACCTGAGACAGGGCGTGGTGGGGAGCGCTCTCCTTGTACGTCTGCCTCCCACAGCCAAGACCGACTGCTAAAGAAGCTGGGAACCCCAAAATGCCGACGGGCACGAGCGGAAAGGGCCCCGCGAAGCCTGCTCTTTCCAGCCAAAGGACTGGGCAAAAGGCAGCCTAGGCAGACAGAAACCTTCTAGACAAAAGTGGCCTGACTGAGGGCAGAGAACCCGCCTCCCACCCCCCTGCCGATGAGAGCAGCGAAGGCCAGGAGAGAGGCCCTGATGTCCAGCTTGGCCAGGTGGCCCCAGGCCCCACAAGGGATTATGGGAAAACCAAGGGACTTGGGTCTCTGCTTGACCGCACAGAGCCCCTGGGAGGTGTCGGGGGGGACCACGTGTGCCCTGGCCGCACACCCGCCTCCTGCTGCGCAGTGACGGGGAGGCAGCCCCTCCCCTGCCAGAGGCAGGTCCCAGAAAGCCGGCTCTGTGGAAGGACAGACAAACAGTGACAGACACGGCAGGAGGCACCTGTTCCTGAAAGATCCTGGCCAAGTGCGCGCAGTCCGTCAGCCTGATGAAGCGCACCACGTCCGTCACCGTCCACTCCAGAGGGTTGCTCTCCAGAACCAGCCTCTCCTCCTCCTCTTGCTTGCTTTCCTGACGGGAGAGGGGGGAGGAGGTCATCTCTTCTGCGCACGGGCACTCAGGACACCCCGTGGGCCCGAGCCCGACCTCCCCCCCTCCCTCTGGCCTCGCCCTGGGCACCCGGACAGGCCGCAGAGACTGCCCGTCTCTAGGGACTTCTTAGCAACTCGTCTGGCTTGTAACTTTGCCTCCAATGACTTGGGTGCCTTTAAAGGTTAAAAAAAATAATAAATAAGCAAAGCACAGTGGGAGCAGTGGCTGAAAGCCAAGTTCAGGACGTCGGGGTCTGCTTAGCAAGGCTGTGTCTCCCACTGAGGAGGGAGGGTGTGGGGCGTGGGAGGGCACCCAGGAGACAGCCAGGCTGTCCCCACTTATGCTGGTGATGACGCTGCCGACGACCTTCCGGCTGAGCGGGTGCGGGGGTGGCCTCGCATCTCATTGTGTCACAGAGGCCCCTCCCCCTGGGAAGGGAAAGCCTGGTGCCCAGGGGGACCTTGAGGACGTATTCTGTCTGCTCTCCTGAAGAGACTCCTTCCAGAGAAACAGGTGCCTGGACCTCCTTGTGACCTCCACCCCAGAGGTGACGTCACCAGGCCTTGTGCCCGGACTCGGGGACCCGGCTGGCGCCACTGCTACTGCTTTTACTACTTTATTTTATTTTTAAAAATTTTTAAATGTTTATTTACTTTGAGAGGGAGAGACAGAGCGTGAGCAGGGAAGGGGCAGAGAGGAAGAGAGAGAATCCCAAGCAGGCTCCGCACTGCAGCGAGGAGCCCAACGTGGGGCTCGAACTCACGAACTGTGAAATCCTAGGCCACGTACGTGCCCTGCTTTTGTTATTTTCGCAGGGAGCCCCAAATCAAGGCCCGGACCTTCAGCACCTCGACACAGCACCTGCCCCCCTACAAGTCAGCCCACCCCCCCCCCCCACCCACAGGCCTCACCTCTGCAGGGTCGTGGCCGCCGGCTGGGCCCTGCTCCCCGCCCTCGGTGCAGGAGACAGCCTGCACCCTCCGGCCCCTGCGCGGCCTCTCCACGGGCGGCCGGCGCTCGGGCTCCGTGCTGCTCCTCAGGGTGACGGCCCTCCGGGGCCGCACAGAGGGGACGTCGGCGGAGGAGGTGTCTGTCTGGTCGTCGCGGAGCTCGGAGCCCGTTTCCTCGCTCCCCGTGTCCTCGTCCACGGCGTCCGCGTCCTCCTCCTCACTCTCCTGGGCCGAAGGGCAGACGCTGAAGGGAGGCCTCTGCGCCCACTGACCTGAGGGCCCACCCCGCCATCCCCGCCACGGTCGCCGTCGCAGTCCCCGCTCCCAGGCCGTGTGGAGCGTGGGCTGGGTCTGGGCTCCCGGACTCGGAGCTGTGGCCTTGGCCGTGAGCAGCCACGAGGACCACCCAGGGCCGCGAGGTGCTCTGAGCAGGACATACCTCCCCGGAGCCCGTGGTGAAGTCCGCGGCAGAAGACTTGCGCTTCTTCTGCACGAAGATGCATTTTCGCCGCTTCCTACGTCGGGCCGGCTTCGGGGGTCCACTCTCCCCGCTGGCTTCCCCAATGGGGGGCTTCACAATCTTCTTCCTCTTTCCATAATAATAGGCTGCAAGGGGTCAGAGGATCAAAAACAGTTTTTAAAGGCCTGGCACGCGTACGCATGTGGACAGAGAGACAGGGAGAGACCAGAGGAAGATGGGGAGGAGAGAAAGAAGAGAAAGATCATTCTTCCATTTAGAACAATGAAACCTGACATCTCAGTATTCCTCAGGTTCCCCTCCGTTTCCTTCCTCCGATGCTCTCATATTCTGAATGTGTCACGGACACAACTCTGTGTTTTCAAAATCTCAATGTCAGAGCCCTAACCCCCACATGTGACTGGATTTGGAGACGGGACCTTTAAGGAGGAGATTAGGGTAAATGAGGTCAGAAGAACGGGGTCTTAATCCACAGGACCAGTGTGCGTACAAGAGGAACAGACACCAGGAATTTGCACACACGGAGGGAAGGTCACGTGGGGACAGAGAAGACAGTCGTCTGCAAGACCCAAAGACAGGGGCCTTAGGAGAAACTGACCCTGGTGATGGTCTATATTAACACTCAGAGCACCCATGAGAAAACTATCTACCAACTTTCAACAACAATTGTCATCTTTTATAAATTAAATGTGTCGGGGCGCCTGGGTGGCTTAGTCGGTTAAGCGTCCGACTTTCGCTTAGGTCACGATCTCGCGGTTCGTGGGTTCGAGCCCCGCGTCGGGCTCTGTGCTGACTGCTGGCTCAGAGCCTGGAGCCTGTTTCAATCTGTGACTCCCTCTCTCTCTGACCCTCCCCTGCTCATGCTGTCTCTCTCTCTCTCTCCTAGAAATAAATAAAACATTAAAAAAATAAATAAATAAATAAATAAATAAATTAAATGTGTAATCGACTAATGAAAACCACTGCTAAGGATCCAATTTTCAATGATGATCACGATCAAGGCTCACTGCTGAAAATCTCAACTGTCCCATAAGAAAACCCCCCATTATTCCATAAAGACCAAACGCAGACGGGCGCCTGGATGGCTCAGGTCGTGATCTCATGGTTCACGGGTTGGAGCCCTTTACCCGGTTCTGCGCTGACAGGGTGGAGCCTGCTTGGGGGTTCTCTCCCCTCTCTCTCTCTGCCCCTCCCGTCCCAAAATAAACATAAAAAGTTTTAAAAATAAGACAAAAACAAACAAAACCGACCAACTACCTTACCCCACAGGTTAGACCCAGACACCTGTGCTGTGGGCGTAATCTGTACTTACTGTACTTGGTTTTGGTGTGAACGGAACAGTTCTCTGGGCAGTTTTCGGACACCAGCACAGGACTGAACAAATTTGGGCAGCATTCCAGCTTGGCACAGACCCGCCGGCAGAAATCCGCCACCTGGTCGGACGTGCGCACGATCTTGGCCACCGCTCTGTAGGTTCTGCCTCTATACCTGGAAGGGAGAAGGGAAACGCAATGGCGACACCACACAGTCACTCGGGCTCGTCCCGCACAACGCGTTCCAAAAGCAGCCCCTTTATTTCCTATGCAGAAACCTCCGGACCGTTTGTTTTTATCATTCCTTCTGAGTTCGCGACAGCGTTTTTACGAGAGCCCAGCATCGTGCAGAGTGCACGTGACCGAGGGCGGTCACAGGATCACCTCCACAAAGATTTCCACTTAGCACCTTTTCGCTGTGGGATACGTCATCAAACACCCCTGTTCCAGAATGCTTCTGGAATCCAGATACCGTCACGGGTTGCTCATCGCTTTTGAGGAAAAAAAACCTTTCTCCTGCCCAAGAAAAACCACATGCAGTGAAGCCACAGACAAAAGAGGAGAGACCATTTCTTCTGGAAAGCAGGTTGAATGAATTCTTCTTTCAAAAATGGGCACCGAAGCCCGGGTCCAAATATTCGCAGTGATGATGACGTAAATAACACTTGGCTCTTCTGAACACTTGGGTGTAGGTTTGAGCCACCTGTCAGCACAGTTTTAATATACCATCAGTACAAAACAATCATAACCTTCTCAGCTGACAACATCTGAGTCAACATATCACAGAACTGGCTCCACCGCCAGGAAGGAGGCATCAAAACCGCAGAGCCTCCCCAACTATGCCCTTGACCTGTATCCGGATGTTCAAGTTGAAATCCTGAACAACAATGTATCTTCCAGAAAAACAGCAGGAGCTCTGGCAAGTAACACTGTTGAGTTTTGGAAACTGGCCAAAATCCAGAGGCGTGACCATCAAGGAAGCAGACGCTGCCCTGGCATGGGGGATGGGCACATGCTCTTTGCAAAACCGTGGGGTCCACTTGTGTTTTCAGGTTTCCAAAAGTTGGCCACAAAACAACAAGGACACCAGACAGTTCATGCAGCATCACGCAAGGAGAGCATCACTTTCATAATCTGTGAGTACAATATTATGATCAATGGGCACCTGGGTGGCTCAGTTGGTTAAGCGTCCAACTTTGGCTCAGGTCAAGGTCTCAGTCTGTGAGTTCAAGCCCCGCATTGAGCTCTGTGCTGACAGCTCAAAGCCTGGGGCCTGCTTCAGATTCTGTGTCTCCTTCTGTCTCTACCTCTCAAAAATAAATAAATGTGAAAAAAATTTTTTAAATATTATGTTCAAAACCTAGATCTGGTTCTCTAGGAATAATGCGGTGATAGAAATAAATAGGATAAACTGATTTTGGGTTTAATTCAGCCTGGTTTCTTTTATGCCTGTGAAGACCAGAAGAATACGCCCCCCCCTTGCAATAAATCATTTTTTATAGTATCTATAGCCAAAAAAATTAAATTCTAACTTGAAAAATCTGGCCTTTGTGCTCATTCTCTAGTCTTTCTAATCCCAGCCCCTCTGTACTGATTGTTGCTGTATTTCTCTGAAGTGTTAAGGTTGGCTTTCCATGTAGTAAGAACTAAAAAGTAATTTTTTTGTAGATAAGATCGTGTTTTAAATCACACAGTGCTGAACAACTATTGATACTTCCAGGACCTCTATTGACCCTAGCTGGAGGAACGCAGCCCCCGCCCCGAGAGGGCTCCGTGATGCACTTGTGGGTAGTTCTTGCCCGTGGCTCCGGTACTGCTTCATAATAAAACCAACACAGTTCTGTGGACACAGTGCATCTCCCATGTTCTGGGGGAAGCAAAATAAAAAGATGCACCTGGTGTGCTGTCCCTGGCAGTTTTTTCCCACTACAATTAAAAAAATAATGTTTTTAACATTTACTTATTTCTATAAGAGAGAGACAGACAGATCACGAGTGGGGAGGGGCAGAGAGAGGGAAACACAGAATCTGAAGCAAGTTCCAGGCTCCGAGCTGTCAGCACAGAGCCCAACGCGGGACTCGAATCCACAAACTTCGAGATCATGACCCGAGCCGAAGTCGGACGCTTAACCGACTGAGCCACCCAGGCGCCTCCCACCACAACTTTGGTATTCCTAGGGTGCTCTCCTCTAAAGAGCTCAATATCAAGATTCTTGAAGTCTCTTAAAAAAATAAAACGAGATATTGGGGCACCTGGGTGGCTCAGTCGGAAAGGCATCCAACTTCAGCTCACGTCATGGTCATGGTGGTTTGTGAGTTTGAGCCCCGCGTCAAGTTCTGTACTGACAGTGCAGAGCAGGCTTGGGATCCTCCGTCCACTCCCTCTGCCCTTCCCCTGTGCCTGTGTGCGCGCTCTCTCTCTCTCTCTTTAAAAAATAAATACGCTTTTTAAAAGAGAAAAAAAAGGTGAAAATAAGTAAAATGATTTTAGAGTAAAAAGAAGCAGGAGAAACGTGAAAATTGCATCCAAATTCAAACTGTATAAATACAGCCCAAAGACAGATGTTCCCAGACCTCCAAATTCCAAAGCAGATGCTTCCAGAAACATGCTAGAGGGATGTATGAGAACAAGAACAGATGTCCGTGGGAAGTGGAGATGGGGTGGCTTTTTCTCGCCTCCTAGTCTGGGAGCACTCCGTGGAAGTAAGCGTGTCCAGAAACCTTTCGAAGTTAGGCAATACCAATCTAAAGTTGTGAAAACAGGATCATAGTGTGGTTTAAAAGTAGTGGAATGCTCTCCCTTCCCTGCCCTTCTGGAACAGCTCCATTGAAAAGCCCGGCCACTTGGGCCCAACTCAGAACAAGCACGGAGGCCATTCTAACACCAGAGATCCCCATGGGCCGCGTGCCTCCCTCTGCCCCGTCCTGTGTCTCTCCGCTTCCTCCTGTGTGGTCCCAAGGGTCCTCCTTCATTAAAAGCATCCCGATCTGTGGCAGGTGGGAGGCGATTCATGAGTTCTCAATTCATGAGAACTCTAATCATTATGTGCAATAACATTGGGGGGGGTGTTTATTTTTGGAAAGACCCTCTCCAATTCCAAGCATCCTCAATGGAGCTGTGTTTGAACCGGAAATGCCACGCCCAGATCCTCTTGAACTTAATTAAGCACACGCAGAAATTCACACTTAGGCTCTACAAACTGGCTCAGCCACCTGCTTCCTGTAACGTTTACGGTATACATTTTTCTGGATAGCAAATGACCAAATCTGAGCAATGTAAAAATTAACAAATGAGCGAACTGAAATTTTGAATTCAGTGAAAAGTCTGTTTGGGAATCCTTTTTCACACAAGTCACTTTAGAGTCAAACATTACATCTTGCTATTCTCAAAATATGAGCATGAGTAAACGACAAAAATAAAAAGGTGAAATCAGGGGCGCCTGGGTGACTCAGTCGGTTAAGCGTCCGACTTTGGCTCAGGTCATGATCTCACGCTTAGTGGGTTCGAGCCCCGCATCAGGCTCTGTGCTGACAGCTCAGAGCCTAGAGTCTGTTTCAGATTCTGTATCTCCCTCTTTCTCTGCCCCTCCCCTGCTCATGCTGTCTCTCTCTCTCAGAAATTAAAAAAAAAAAAAGAAAAAGTGAAATCAAAACACATAATATTAGTAATTGCTTATGGAAAAGAAACAAAACTACCATTTCTAGGGAGCCAAGCGTGACTCACCTCAAAGATGTGATTTTCCTTGCTTCTGCCTAAGTGATGCGGAAGTCTAAGTCATTCCAAATTTAAGAGGACATTTCCTCTTTAAATATTCTGAATAACTGTAACAAAAGACTAGGAAAAATCTATTAAGCCTTCACCTGGATTTTGTGAAGATTATCACAAAAGCCACTCAAAGCAGAGTTAACGGTCTTTTTCCCCCAAGAAGATTCTATAACATGTCGGAAAACATTTAAATCTCTCCAGATGCACGGAGTTGGAACTCTTCTAATCCCCCTAAGGCATAGCCTAAATTCCTCCTCCTGAAATTCAAAATAATGTAGGTCAATCCAGTATACCTGAGTTCATTGGAAAGAGAATTTTCTCTTCCAGGATTGCCGGAATGAAGTATGGTAGAAGCTACTTTTCCTTTTACCGAGCCTCTACGCGTGCGCCTCTCCATACGTGTGGCAGACTCATGATACGGACCCCTTACGCACTGTTCAATGCCGCAGTAATTTGTTTTAGTACGAAAGGTACTGTCATTAGACAAATAGGAAAAAAATCACTAAGGGGCAAGAGACGGCAATGTGTGTTTTCCTCCTACATACAGGCCAAACCTTCCCAGTGGAACCTCCATCCAGTCAAGTAAGTGGGTCTTCACTCCTCACAAGAGGAAAAACCAGTCAGAGAGCCCAGGGGCACCTGGGGGCTCAGTCAGTTCAGCGTCCGACTTTGGCTCGGGTCATGATCTCACAGTTTGTGGGTTCGAGCCCTGAGTCGGGCTCTGTGCTGATAGCTTGGGGCCTGGAACCTGCTTCAGATTCTGTCTCCCTCTCTCTCTGCGTCTCCTGCTCATGCTCTGTCTCTGTCTCTCTCCAAAGTAAACATTAAAAAGAAAGCCTGGACGATCTCACCTCCTCTCCTCCTGAAAGCTCTCCGTGTAATACTGTCCTTTAAGGACCACAAGAAGACAACCCGAAGTCTGAAATGCAGGACCCCCTCCACTAGGTTAATTTATTCATGACAGAACAGAAAACAGGAAGAAGCCAGCGGTCCCTCCCCGCATGTGTACCGAAGAAAACAGCAAAGTTGTCAAGATCTGAAAAGTTCTGGGTTTACATTCAGAAGCAACATGGAGCATCGTTAATGGGGATGCTTCCCCGCCCCACCCCCACCCCCCGGAAATGCTGAGATCTGAGATCAGATCAGCTGTGCTGTGACCCCACACCAGAGAGACAGACGCTTTCTCATTATAAGCTGCTGTGCCAGATCCGGCTAAGGAGTTCACCATCACATCTGATAGGACAGGAAGACACCGCCTTTCCAACCCAGCAAGGCCGACCATGCTCCTTGTATCAGGGTTGGACTTAACAACAGCTCTGGTCAACTCAGTAACATGAAAACCAGTGAAAACATGGCAAATTAACTCTCCCTTTCGTTTTGGCAAGTTTCTGACTTATTTAATAGGGACAGGGGCGATTTTAATGGGATTTAAGATTTTTACATTTTTCCTATTTTCTTATCCATTAGGTATATTTTGGAAGTACTGAATTTTACAGAAAATGCTTAAAAGAAGAGGTGTTTCTCTGTATAAATACTTGTTGGGGATTCTGGCCACCACCATCCCTATGAATTAACCTCGTAAGAGAATGTTCTGCTGCTGATGACATCCCCCTTAGACAAAGCAGAAAGATACAGAATGTTACCCTGGGAAGAAAAAAACAAACTTGTATTTCCTTCTGCACTACAGGTGAGGCTCATGTAACTATTTCCCGGGAAGGACGAGATACGCGCCACTTCATATAAACATTCTATGAACATGTACTTCCTTTAACTTCTGTGAGGTGGTAGAACATCATCAGATGCCAGATGACTTTCACTGAATCGAAAATTACAGGCGTGCTCAGGGCACGGGGGCCTCAGTCGGCTGAGCGTTCAACAACTTGACTTCGGCTCTGGTCACGATCTCACAATTTGTGAGTTCAAGCCCCACCTCGGGCTCTGTGCTGACAACACGGAGCCTGCTTGGGATTCTCTCTCTCCTTCTCTCTCACTTCTGGCTCTGCCCCTCCCCTGACTGCACTGTCTCTGTCTCTCTCAAATAAATAAATAAAACTTTAAAAAGTATCATTTCCCAAGTGTCACATCCAAATGCTATTTTATTTAGGACACTGTGATTCAAGAAGTTGACCAGGAAGGTCTATTCTCCTGAAAAGCTAAATGAATATTAAGAACCAAAAGTCAAAACGATTATTAAATGAAATTATCTTGACAAAAGGGTCTTCTGTCTGCCTCCTAAACAGACAACCGTGTTTAACCACCTCCATCCAGTGGGTGCGTTGATGTCAGAGCTCGAGAAGCTTAAAGCAAAGTCAGAGTATCATCTTTCCCATTAGCCTGTCTTCAAATAAAAGGAGTGACCAACCACATGTCAACCCACAGCCCACTAACTAAAACCAAACAGAAGTACAGGTTTCTTACTATCCTTTAACATGCTCAGCAATCAGAGCACAGAGAATCCGTGTCTGGCATTAACTCCCCACGGCACCAAATATCAAGAACTGTTCCTGAATAATGTGTAATGATGATAAGGGACATCCTCTCTTTTTATAATTTTCCCCCTTCTGATCACATAGTCTATTGGCTTTAAAATGCGGTGAGTTCCGATTCTGAATGTTTAACAGAATAAAGTATTAGCTAAAGAAATCTCTCCATTATCTCTGGAATCCCAATGCTTAAGGTGGCTCCGTGTCACAAAAATGCCAATGCACCTGCACGTAGCGCACAGAACTGTGGAATGACGGCCTTCTATTCGTCCCCGTTTCTCTGGGCCATGTCACAGAGAGGAATGACAGCGTCTCCGGGCAGCGGGCTAACCGTTGCAAGAGCACCATCCTGCAGAACCGAAAATACATACTTTGCCTTCAGCGTCTCCTCTTGGAAATTCCAGTGTGGACCTTCCACCAGCTGTAGTTCTCGTAAAACCCTTCCCGGCTTGTAGGCGGCATTGATTATCATGCTAAGAACCTGTGGGAAGAAAAAGAGAGCCGCCATGAACTTGAGTGGCAACCGTCCCCACTAAAACAAGAATGCTGTGAGAGCCGCCTTCCCGCAGAGGAGAACCCGCCGGTCACATATCCACTGCGTCGAGTGACACTGATTTGGTTCGGCGCCCATGGGAAAAGAAGGGTGGTAAAATCCAGTCCCGCGGGCGGGCATGAGGGACTCTCCTCAACATCCCTGGTTGAAGAAAAACGGATCTATTTCCTCCTAAGAGCCGCTGATGATCTTCAACAGGATTCCTCTTCAGGGAGATCAGCTACTGAGAACTTCAATTTAGTTTTGAAAATAAATTTAAAGGGAATCAATAAGACAGAGGCAACTGACCCATGCCAACAATTCAGAACAGACCGGAGGTATCTGTAAGGAGGCAAACCGAGCGTTTGAAACTCACCTGGTGCTGACTCGATTATGGACAATTCATGCGGGGACAGTGTTCTCAGAGAGGAGAGTGTTTCAAAACCCAGTCTGGAGTATCTAGTACCAGCCAGTATCATATTTCCTCAACCGCCCCTTATCCCCAACTCCCAAGTCCAAGGAGGCACACACGTGGTCACTGCCTCCCGTGGCACCCCCTGGAAGACCGGACGCTGCCGTCCGTAAGCCCCAGCTGCGAGCTCTGAGAAGGTAACATGCACCTGTTACCCTTGCGTGCCAAGAACAAGGACTTCAGATTCCGTGGGGCACTCACTCTCCCTTCCATAGCAGATCATCGTTAACATGAACATTTATGAGTTCCAGAATGTTCAACGGCTACCGCCTTTGGGCTAGACAGCAGTTACTGGATGTGAAGGTGCAGCATAGCCTGTAAGTGACCATGAGACCCATGGGGTTTAGTTCCACAAGACGCACCTGGATGATGACCTGCTGGGGGCCAGCCCCAGGAGCGCAGGTAGGAACGGGACGCAGCATCAGCCACTCATGCAGCCCCCCCCCCCCCCACCTGCCGAGTCCGGGGAAGGAAAAAGGCAGGCACTGAGCTCACATCACACACTGCAGAGCAGACCCCCACGGAGGCGGGGAGGGAAACACCTCACTGAGATGAGACTCAGGCATCACTGCCAAAGCACCCACTGTTTACAGCGGAGACGGCCCGGTGTCTGAGAGAGGATGGAGACGGACATATGTTCCTGGGATTTTCATGTCCACACCCTCCGTGTATGTGATGTGTTCCGGAAACACAACTCATGTGGCTGGAATCCCGAGTTCATTCCAAAAAACAATGATGCTCTCTTGTAGGATAACTGAAGAGCTGATCTTAAATATATATATACACTTTTAAAGTATACCTATTTTGGGGCGCCTGGGTGGCTTAGTCGGTTAAGCGTCCGACTTTCGCTTAGGTCATGATCTCGCGGTTCGTGGGTTCGAGCCCCACGTCGGGCTCTGTGCTGACTGCCAGCTCAGAGCCTGGATCCTATTTCAGAGTCTGTGTCTCCCTCTCTCTCTGACCCTCCCCTGCTCACGCTGTCTCTCTCTCTCTCTCCTAGAAATAATAAAAAAATAAATAAATAAAATAAAATAAAGTATACCTATTTTGAGGGGGACAGGGCTCCGTTCCAAGGGCTCCGGAAGTCCCCATCAAGAGCATGTGGTCTGGCCGAGGTACCGAAAGGCCAGGAGGAGGCCGTACAAGCAGTCTGGGCGGGTTTATATTTTCAGTATTAGAATAACCGTCTGGCTTTATGGTTTACTGTCCGTACGGTTTACAGAAATCAAGTTTAAGCAATAAATCCAATTAGAACTGGCTGAAATATCGTACAGAGTATTTATCAGCAGACAATAGAATTTAAACCGATCCTTTTCATCGTGTTTCATGGGGGGAAGGAAGGAAGGCCCAGAGCTACGTGTTCTTTGCTGCAGAACGAAATGCATTTTGCGACCGAGAAAAGAAAACGCCCTCCAAAATTCAATTCAGCCTGGGAACGGGCAGCCATTACGTTGTCAAAAGCATCCCATATTGAATAATTTTCCTGTGGCATTGCCAAAGCCACATCACGCATTGCCGAATTCAACAGGCTCTCTCTAAAACTCTGGGATGGTGAGCGGAATAATCCTGTGTACACGACACCTTGGTGTGTTACAGTTACCGCTGGCGGCTGGTACGACCATGCAGAGTCAGCCTGAATTACCGTTCCTCGCAAAACACTGGAACTCAGCGCACCGGATCATGCCCTTGATCAGGAAGGGTCGCACGCACCCTGCCCCCAGTTAGCTGAGGGGATGTCGGGCGTGACATGAATAAACAGTGTGCCGAGTAAGCTGGCGTAGGGAGGCTGAGCCACTCCAGGAGGGAGGTCAGCCTCCAGAACACCTCCCTGGATCTCCTGCAGCTCACGAAACGTTTCTGCAGAACCTACTTCACACACAAGTCTCAACAGACGTGCGATCGAACCCCAGCTCCAGCCTGTAGAAGCTACGAGTCCTTAGGCAAGATGTGTGACTGACTTTCCTCTTCTGTATAATGGGGGCACTGCCATCTCTCTGGCTCATGAGGGGACCAGAACATTCCTCCTCCAAAGACGCCACTTTCACACAGAATTATTTGAGCCGAAGGCAGCTGAAAAGCTACACGCGTATAAGAGCTCCCTGCTCTCCCCCCTTCTGCCTGGAAGTAGGTGAACACGTCCCTGTGTGCAGGTGTTTCCTCCTAACCGGGAACGGCTCCCGTCCTTGGAGACAGAAAGACGGTACTGAGATGACTCTGCACAAGCCTCACTGAAAGAACCCTTAACTTCCATTCATCTCCAGTGTATTTACCTCCCTACAATCTACCACCCTGAGAAGCCCAGACCCCGTTTACTTTGTCCATCACCTCTCTGTAGCATACTGCCATTTGTTAAACTGATATGTGAAAGTTTCCAGCGTAACGGCCTCTTTGGGTTTTTGCTTCCTTTGTGGGAGGTGCCCTGTGCGTGTGATATACACCATGTCTCCTATTATTCTGTTTTGTGGTCGGTTTAATTTGCAGGCCCCAGTCACTAAACATGAGAGAGTAGAGACTTTCCTCCTGTACAATAGGGATGTCAGGAGAAGTAAAGGAGATCACATCGTGGCACAAAAAATGTTTAAAGGTAGCCCTCTTCTCAACACTGACGTGGTCTTCATCAGCCCATAAAATAAACGGTCTCCTGTGCCTTCACCTGCTCTGTCCCCACTGGCCCATACTGATATGCTAGACTTACATCTCTGCAAATCAACTCTGCTCAGAAGCTCGACTTTCTTGGGGCACCTGGGTGGCTCAGTCGGTTAAACGTCCAACTTAGGCTCACGTCATGATCTCGCAAATTGTGAGTTCAAGTCCCAAGTCGGGCTCCGTGCTGATAGCTCAGAGCCTGGAGTCTGCTTCGGATTCTGTGTCTCCCTCTCTCTCTGACCCTCCCCTGCTCACACTCTGTCTTTCTCTCTCTCTCTCTCAAAAAGAAACATTTAAAAAAATTCTTTAGAAGCTCAACTTTCTTGCTACTGTTTTCTTTCCAGAATGAAACTTCCCGGAGAAATAGCCTACACTTTTTCAGTCCCTCCTCTTCCATTTCATTCTCCATTGACCCAAATCTGGTTTCCTCTCCCACAGCTAACACAGAAATGCTTTGGGAAGGTCACCAATGACCTGCCACCAAATCCAGTGAATGCTCCTGTCTCACTGGGCCCTGAAGAATCTGGCCGTACTCTCTGCCGCCCATGCCTGGCCACGTCTCCGCTGTCCTTCCTCTGATCATCAGACACAAACATTTGCTCAGAGAGTGGCATGTGGGTCTGGGTGCGGGCAGGGTGGGGAAATGAGAGAGGAGGGAGAAGAACAGAGGTGGGTGCTGCCAGTGAGAGAAGAGCCCCCCCCCCACATGCCGTGTGGGGGGCACAGGAGCCACTCGATGAACCCCGGTTTCCTTCCCCCACACCTTCCCTTCCAGATACGACTACAGCACTCGGAAGATGATGGAAATTGAGGGGAGTTCTTCCCTGCTCACATCATGAAATTATGTGATTCCAGGATTTCCTTTCATATTCAGCATCATGAAATGCCCCCAAAACACCTGAGTCATTTGGATCATTTCCAACCTTGAGTATATCCTACGATCAAAGTCAGAACAATGTTGAATGTACAGGGAACTTACATTAATAAGAATACAATTAATAAGAAAACGATTTCCTTGAGAGTCAAGAAACGAGAAAACTCTTCAGAACCCAAATATGAGTTAATGGAAGGAAGACAGATTCTCAACTTCCAAAGTGTGTAATGGGCTGAATTCTAGTGATCGTGGGGAGGGCTCTTTGGGAAAGATGGGCTCCCATGGGAACATGAAGAATATTCTCTGTCTTGTGGGGTGTGGGGGGATCAGAAAAAGGATCTGACACAAAGGAGCCCCCCACCCCACCCCCACGTGTTCACTCTGCGTCAACAGACCGTTCTCTGAACCAAGGCCTGGATCTGCTCTGAGTCCTCAAAGCCTCACTTGAATCTGATGCCTGGAGACTCACTGCCCAGAGGGTGAGCAGATTGGTGTGGACCCTCCCTTCAGCCTGAACCCTCCTCTCTCTGGCAGTCCGTGCCCTGGGAGCTGAGGACTGTCCTTGCAGCCTGCACTTCCCACGTCCACGGCCTCTCCGTCTACACCCACATGTGTCTGCTACCCCTGAGCAGTGTGGACGGAGGATGGCTATCGCGCGCCATCTCCCAAAGATGAAAAAGCCCGTGACTGCCAAGTCCACCGATGGCCTGAAAAGCAAACGCACTGTCTTTGCTCCAATTATCTCGTTCTCTTTAAGTAAAACGGAATCTGAAACCACTGAAACTCTGGTGCTGGAGAAGGCGCATTAGCATGAATATTGGTTTGCTGGAACTTACAATTTTTCTTGCACTCACAGAACTGAAGCGCTTGCTTTTTTGCCTCCTTCTTCTCTTCCTGACTCATGCAGTTTCTGAACATCGGCGAAAAACTGGTTTTGTCATCAGAAAAGTAACCTGGCCTGGCCTGGCTTTCACGTTTGGCCGCCGGCACCCAGCGCAGGGCTGATCTGGGGAAACCACCGTGGACTCCAAAACCGGCTGCAGGGAGGTCAGACGACCAGCCCCCCAAGACAGGCTGACCTGGAGGGCACCACATTTGCTAACATCCGGCAGGTGAATTGGGACCTCGTGCTAATCTCTGGAACATTCCATGACAAACGGTCTTGCAGGCAGCTTCAAAGGCCCCGCCGGGTCGCCATTATTTTAGTGCCCACCTCCCTGCTCCTTTCTGATCCATCCTGAAAAGAGTAGCCCCGACACAGGGAGGGCTCACCGTACCAACAACCCACTCCCAGGCTGGACGCCGGAGGGTCACTGCTTGGTCCAGGCGTGTGATTTCACACCCTGACACGGATCCCCGTGCCTCCGGTGTCTTCTTCAATCCAGTTCAGCATCCGAGGTCAGTGCCCACAGACGGCTCATCGGGGACGTAAACCCACCTGCCCCTCAGGCTGGGCCAGACCCGCACGGTTCTCTCCCAGGACGCTGGGCCTGCCTGCAGGGGGAAGGGGGCAGCTTCACAGGAGAGCAGGTGCAAACGGCCGAGGACGCCAGGGCCGCGGGGACTCTCGATCCAGACCTGGGCCCGTGTCTGGCCCTCGAGGTCCTTACCCAGAGCTGTGCTGGGAGCCCTCCTTCCCGTTCTCCCTTTCGGGGTGCAGCCGCCCGCTCCTCTGTCCCCACAGACTGCAGGGGACGCCCCTGTGCCCTCCAAGCGCCCGTCCCAGCCCTGCCCCAGCACCCGAGCCCCCCTCCCCCGCCCCGCTCTGCGGTCTCCACTCCCTGCTTCTCTTTCCCCCTTGACCGGAAGCACATTTAAGGACAGAAACCGCCATCTGAACATTTTCTCTGTGACGTGCTTCTGAAGAAAGGACCACGGCAACAGCCTGACCAGAAGTTTCTTCAGAGTTTCTGCTCTGCCACAACCCCTGTTTTCTCTCTAAAACGGGTTTCTGTTTTCTAAACATATGAAGTCTTTAGCTGCTAATTCCGTGGACGGCCTGGAGAAGCAAATGCGTTCTGAGTCCGCGAAAACTAGCTCCTTCTCTTGGAGCAGAGCGGAGTCTGAAACCACGCGGAGGTCCCCGCGGTGAGGGGGCCGGCCTGCGACGCAGTCACCCGGGGGCTCCCGTCCTCCAGAGCGAGACGCCTGCACCCTCGGGACGCCCGGGCAGGCCCCCTACCAGCCAGCTGCTCCGTCCCGCCTGGCGCTCTTCGGTTCTCTGCAAAACGTGCCGCCCTCCTGCACGCATACAAGCCGGCCCGGCCTGCGGGTCCACACTCCGGCCTCGCGGGACCACCTTCCTTTCCTGGACACCGCCCTGAACGCCCACCCATGCATCCCAGGCTCGACTCCCTCTGTCCAAGCCACATCGAGTGTCACCGGACATCGTCACTGCCTCCCCGTGCTCCCAGAGCACTCCGCTCTCGCCTTGACAGAGCACCCCCGTACTGTGTCTCTAGCTTAGAATGACGAGGCCCCCCCGACAGGGCCATTAAGCCCAGGGGGCCGGGGGCAGACCGCGTAGAGCTGTGCCCCGGGCCTCGTGCGGTGCCTGGCTCTGAGAGGCTGCCCGACAATGCGTGTTCAATGGATCAACAGAGGGAAGCACACTCTTCGTGGTACAGTAGCGATAAAGAATGTATGTGCAGGGCCCTCTTTCTCAAGCGGAAGCACTGATATGTACAAAAAAAGCAGAGACCATGTTCAGAGCAGCTCAGAAATGGCTCCAAAATCCCAACCCATCTCCGCACCGGGTCAGCAGTGAGGCTGGAAGCACAAGCCAGAGGAAAGCCGCCATCAATGTGGTTAGGCTTCGCCTACTGATCTGCAGGCGGGCGCCCAAAGGCAGGGAGAGAAGGGGAAATAACGGCATCAAGATGATGCGCGGCTGGGGCTTGGCCCAGGACACAAATGTCCTACAAGTACCCAGAGCCCAAGGTGCATTCAGCAGGCACCACCTACGTGCAGGTGGCCCGCTAGGTACAGCAGAGTGGGGCGGAGAGACGTCACTACTCTTGGCTCGGCCTTGGGGGCGGGGGGCAGGTCTGTCCTCACAGCACTTGCTTCTGTCCATCGAAGTTTACTTACCTCTTCAGAGAAACCTCCGGTCTGCACTCCAGGCCCTCCCCCCGACGCACAGCCCGTCTCCCCTGACTTCCCGAAGCTCTTGATTCAAACCCACTGCAACATTTCCCCGGACTCAGGGGAGGAAGGTCTATCCCTTGTGCTGGCCTGGGAGTCTTTGACGGGCACGACCGCCGTTTTCCATCTTTGTCTGACCAGCGCCAGCCCAAGGACTGAGAGAAAGCAGGTGCTCGGAAAACGTCGCCTAAACGGATTCAGATTGCTGTCATCTCCTTCAGAGATTCTACCTACATCTTGGACACCCTGTGGAAATCAGCCAGCTCTGACCGCTGTTGGGGATACTTTACCTCTTTGAGAACCAGCACACACTTGCCGGGCCCCACGGACTGCGGTAGCTCTGCGATTCTCCCTTTGTTCAGGTAAGGGCCTGAGAAACACCTGTGGTTGATAAAAAGCTGAGGACAGCAGTATTTCCCGTTGACAGGGCCTGCAGGGAAGAGAAACAGAGCGGACGCCTTAGGAACCAGCAAAAAAAACTTGCTTAATCCACTTAGCTGTCAGAATTACCAGAGGCACGCGGTGTCTTAATACCAGAATGTCTTATAGCCACAATAGCTTGGAAGTCCTGGTTATTTTTTTTCTACCACATAAGTGAGCTTTTCTGTTTATGAGGCAGGATTCAAGACACACAAAAAGATGCTACCAACAACACAATGACAACTAATGTATCCCTAGGCAGCTAAGAAAAAAACAGTATCAGCCACAAAGCTAAGTTCCCCTGAGCTTTCTACCCCAGAACCCCGCCCCCCCACCTTGCGCTCCCCTTCCCTGAATCTGGTGTTTATCATTCCCATGAACGTCTATAAACTTTACCACACACACAGGTGTATGTGTATCAACACACAATAGAAGGTATTTTGGATATTTTTAAAATATGGTAAAACCTTGTTTACAAGCATAATTCGTTCCAGAAACATGCTTGTAATCCAAAGCAGTCGTATATGGAAGCGAATTTCAAGTAACACTGGCTCAGCTGTGATCATGTGACATTCGGCATCACAAATGAATCATATTGCAAGACCTCGCTCGTTTATTCAGTTAACTTATTAGAAACGTTGGCTCGTCTTGCGGAACAGGTTATGCGCAATCCAAAGTTTTACTATATTCCATCAGTGGTTTTCTGCAGCATCTGGTTTGTTCAATGTGAAGTTTCTAAAATCCATACAAGTTGGTAAAGGTCTAAACAGAACGACCATCCATTTTCCACTTCTGTGCGTGACTCCATCACATCACTATGGCACAAGTGAGGTTTCCATTTTCCTACTGATGGACATTTAGGCATTTCCACTTTCTCGCTATTACCGACACTGCTTTGGTGAACATGGCTGTGAAAAATCTGCTTCTGCTTATGGGCGAGAGGGTTTTCTGAGTACGTAACAAGGAGGGGAACTGTCTGGCCCTGGGGTCTGCACGTCTTCGGTTTTCCTACACACGGCTACATCGATCTCCACGTGGACTATCCCAATTTACACTCCTCTCAGCACGGGGCAGGAGTCCCGCCGTCCCATGTCCGAGCACACTAGGTACGGCTGCCTCGTTCTGCCACTCGGACGGACGTGAAATGTACCTCCCAGGGGATTATATCTGCATCTCCTTTGTTAGGCTTCTGACTTAGCCAAGTTGCTGGTCTAGCTGTGTCTCCAAGGGCCATGGGAAAAAGTGGAATGACTGCACAGTCAGGTATTACCCTACAGCCTCCTGATGTCTGCAACCACAGAAAGGGGGCTCGCAGTCCGCCAAGATGTCCCCCACCATGCCGCTCCAAGCTAACCCATGCTAACGGTGCTATTTCTGCATAAAAACCGTTCTGAGTTTGAGATGGTTACTGAATAGCCCAGGAAGGTTTGTCCTTACAGGACTTCAACTAAGAACCAAGAGGGAAGGAGGGAGAGTGTTATTTTTGTAAGTAAAAGACAAAAGGCGTAAAATAACAATTACAGACGCTAAAGGAAGAGCTGACGCAGTTCTTTTAAGAAGTTTGAATTCCGTACAACAAAATTAGACCAAAAAAAATTTACGTCCACAGCTGCATACACATGGAAAGTTTTTGGTAGGATTAGCCAACCCAGACCTTCAGAACAAAACCACTGTAGTAAGTCGACTCATACAAATGCTCTCCTTACTACACCCTGGGCAGATGGCGTTCTTTCACGGCATACAGCTTTTAATCCTGGAAGAATTCAGAGCATGTTCGTTTTGGCTAGCAAACAGGATTCTTAAATCAAATATATTATTTGACGTACAAACATGTCTGTAATCAGATTGATTATCAAAGGGGAATTCACCTGTGTGTTTTCAAAGGTTATTAGAAGATGTAGAACTCTACACATTAAAAAAACATGTATTATTCATGCTCAGGTTTCAAACAGATGGTTTTAAGGAACAATTCAAGAGCCCACAGGGACTTAAGTATTAACCACTGGTAGAAAATGCAGGTGGAATGGCATAAAATGTCAAAAAAAAAAAAAAAAGTGCCTGATGACGACATTTTCGATTATTTTTCTTTCCACATGACCATCCACAACATACCACCTTAACTGGGCTCCTAAATTCCAAGTAACACATGGACTCTTCTGCAGACCGAGAGAATTATCAAGAGCTAGGGACCAAGAAACAGAAGAGGCACGGAGAATTTGGTTCAGAAATTTTTTTTAAAGGTGCGCCTGGGGGGCTCAGTCAGTTAAGCGTCTAACTTCGGCTCAGGTCATGATCTCACAGTTTGTGAGCTCAAGCCCTTGCGTCAGGCTCTGTGCTGACATCTCGGAGCTTGGAGCCTGCTTCGGGTTCTGTGTCTCCCTCTCTCTCTGCCCCTCTTCCGCTCACACTCTGCCTCTCTCTCAAAAATAAATAAACATTAAAAAACACTTTTTAAATAAAAGAAAAAAATTTTAAAGTAGCTACATGTGGATAAGTAGCAACAGACATAAGGGAATTGAACTGAGAGTGGAGGTATTCTTACATTAACCTGGAAATACATGCATGTCCCTCTCACAAACTGGGAAGGGTGATTCAGCCACTTACCTGCCGTGTCCAAGGGGGACAGTAAACAAAGGTCATGAGGTATTTTCTCAACAGGCACTGCGGATGGCAATCTGTCGATCAAGAGAATAAAACATCATGGGTCACACCCTTTAGAAGACACTAGTCCCTTCCAAAGTCCTTTCATAACTGAAAGGGACTGTCCCAGAAATCCTTGGACCTCGCATAGAGCGTCACATGGACAAGATCACTTGTGTCACCAACACACACAGACAAGATCACTTCAGACAGGTCACTCCCCAGCTCTTACGATAACCCTAACACCCCAGTGGGACTGCTTCTCCTCAAGTGCTCATCACCGGTCAGTGATGTCCTTCTAGGTAGTTCCGGCCTTTGACTCTTGCTATGGAATTATAATAATACCATTAATTATATTCTTAGACCTGAAGGAATATTAGCTTGTGCAGACTTTAATGCAAATCAGACTCGTCTTCCACCTCTAACTGGGAGCTACCGTCTGGTGGCCTTCAGTTTCTGGCGTCTGTGCTCCTGAGGGTCGTGGCTACACTAAATGGATCTTAGAAGAAAGCCTATGAACGGATGGGCCTTAACATGTGAAGCAGGCCTATCCCAGGACAGAGCTTTGTGTTACAGGTCAGGCCACAGGGAAAAAGAGGTGTGTTGGGTTTCACAGGGAACCCCTGTTGGCCGTGTAGAAACCATAGTGTTGAAAAGTGACATATATTCAAAGTAAACCATTCGAGAGCTCAGCTGGGTCCTCTACAGCACTGATTCTCAAAGCGGGGTCCCTGGAACTCGCAGACGGGCATCACCGGGGACCTTGGGAGACGTACAGGTGCTCAGGGCCCACGAAGACCTGCTGCACTGGAAAGTTTAGAGATGGGGGTCTGGCAGCGTGTGTGTTTTATCGAGCTGCCTGGGTGACCCTGGGCCCACAGGCCGCAAACTGAGGAGCTACCAATTCAGATTTGGAGGCAGAGGCGGGACTGCTGATTCTTTTTTACGTTCTGTTTCAATGTCCTCCAGGTAAGGCTGGAGTCAGATTAACTTGAGCCGCTGTGTGTGGAAATGAATGCATGAAAAATGCCCACAAAGCTCCTATTCACACTGAGGTAACAGTGCAGTTATTACTGCATTTCGTTTTGTTTCAACTTAAGCCTGGGTACATGCAGAAAGGCTGGCCTTAAATTCCTTTCCCTCAGTGTGTTTTTATGAAGAAAACGGAGCCAGCTGGCGAAGGGAGAGTATTGTAGCGTCTCGGATCTTCTCCCCTGCATCAACATGGTGCAAACAGGTCCTGCACGGACACACACCTGGTGCCCTCCTCCTTTGTAAACTTACAACTGAAATGTGGGGTGACTGACATTTACTCAACCATGTAGAGAACCCACACGTGTTTTTTCCCATGATCTCTAATCTCAGGAAAACTCGGAGAAATGGGGGTTTCACAAAAGAGAGTGCTGAGATGCAGAGAAGTGAGGCAGCTTCCTCACGCACCCCTGCCGGGGCCCCGGCAGCACCAGCACGGGCGGCGCAGGCGGGGGCGGCTGTGCGTGGCTGCGGGGACCCGCAGAGCGCCGTCCCCGTCAGTGGGCTGCACGCCCTTCAGTGGGCTGGGGTGGGATGGAAGTGAGACATTCCAGGGCGAGAGGGGATCCCCGAAAGAGCAGGGCCCGTGTCCTGCACGTAACAGGTGCACAGCCATCACCGCCACCTTGACAGTGCCCAGTGCTCACTGGCTCCCTAAGGAACCGGAGATGCTCCTGTCCTCTGTAAGGACAACTCTGTCAAGTTTATCACCTAGTTTTGGGCAAAAGAGACACAAAAACTTACTGTTTTTCCGGCTGCACAACTGCGATCTTTCTCTTCTTGTGTGCTGAAAAACAGGCAAGAGAGGGCAAAGGGAGCATGAGCTTCGTTTGCTCGTGGGGCAAAAGCATTTTCAAAAAATGCCTTCAGTTTTACAGTAATGACTTGAACACTGAGAAGTTATTCTGTTCATGCCACAATTTCACCTTCATTTCTTCTAGCACTGAATGACTGTGACTCATCAGAAATGAAATCTAAATAGAATTTAGTGCATTTAATCTTATCACTACACCAGCTACTTTATTCTAAAATGTGCTTTTCATAAGAAACAAAGAGCACACATTCCTTCCTCACCTAACCCGCCTGGTAAAACAAACTGTTGCGAGATTATCTAGAATTTTCCCCCCCAGAAAGTGGAAAATCAAATAATATTACCATACAATACACTCCCAAATTAAGATCAGAGACATGTTTTTGAGTTAAAATATTATTACTGGAAGGAGGATTAGTGCCCCGTAAATATGTCTGACAAATATCGACATTAACCAGCCAATAAGTATCTGTTGGACAAAATTTATAATTTATATAACTGATTCGAATCACCTTACCAAAGACAGACCAGAGACTGTGAAAGCAATTAATGTTGGCACTGACAGTCCAGCATCTTCTGGCATATGCATGATTTCAACAAAGTTTTTTTAAAGTTTATTTGTGTATTGTTTGAGAATGAGTGAGAAAGAGAGAGAGACAGAATCCCAAGCAGGCTCTGAGCTGTCGACTCAGAGCCCAACGAGGGACTGGATCCCACAAACCGAGAGATTACGATCTGAGCCAAAATCAAGAGTCAGACGCTTAACCAACTGAGCCACCCAGGTGCACACCCCCCAACCCCCTGCCCAACAAAACTTCTAAAGCTACTGGAATTTAGAGGATTTAGGGTTATAGTTTGCCTCTTCAGAACAAATGCACGACTGAACCCAGAGAGGACCGGGCCCGGCTCTCTGGCCAATGAAGTCAACAGTCTATGGCATATTAAGCAAGAGGAAAAAGTTACAATGCCCATGAAAAAGTTATTCTACACTCAAAATAATATCTTGAGGGCCAAGATATCATTCTTGTTGCGTGACTCATTGAGCAATCCTGTGTGTGTGGGAGAAGAAGCTCTTAAAATCCACCTGTGTGTCATCTGGGCTACCTACGGTGGCACACAGATAATGCACCATCCCACTCTTTTTTTTTTTTTTTTTTTGAGACAGAGCACAAGCGGGGGAGGGGCAGAGAGAGAGGGAGGCACAGAATCTGAAGCAGGCTCCAGGCTCTGAGCTGTCAGCACAGAGCCCCACTCACGAACCGTGAGCTCATGACCTGAGTCAAAGTCAGACGCTCAAATGACTGAGCCACCCAGGCGCCCCCACCATCCCACTCTTAATGAATACCGAGTAGGACTCTAGTGTCCTTCAAAATATGACATCAGGGAATAGGAGGGCGACTATAAGATGGAACTTTCTTTCTAGCAATGTCCTGAGCGTATATATAAGGGAACCATAGAGTAGGACATTAGAAAGTAAAACTAGCATGTAAATTGTATAAAGGAAATACTAGAAATATCTATTTCACAAAAAGTAAAACCCCTTCTCTTTAAGGAGTCATAATTTTATTTTATTTTATTTTATTTTATTTTATTTTATTTTATTTTATTTTATTTTATTTATTTTTTTAAATTTATTTCTAGGAGAGAGAGAGAGAGAGAGAGCATGAGCAGGGGAGGGTCAGAGAGAGAGGGAGTCACAGACTGAAACAGGCTCCAGGCTCTGAGCTGGCAGTCAGCACAGAGCCCGACGCGGGGCCCGAACCCACGAACCGCGAGATCATGACCTAAGTGAAAGTCGGACGCTTAACTGACTAAGCCACCCAGGTGCCCCGCGGAGTCATAATTTTAAATAGCACTCTAGATAAACATTCGGGTAGAATAAAAATGCCATGATTTCTAAGTTTTGAAGATTTTTAAAAGTACCATTTCAGGATAATGACCTATAACAAATGTGAGAACATACACTGCTACATATATTTAAGAGATAAGAGTTCTCAGATTTAAGAACACAGAGGTAGTTGTGGGTTAACTATTAATATTATTTGAATTTGGCATTTTTGGGGTCAGAAGGACGTGATATTACACACTTTGCAAAGTACAGTTGAAATCTCACTGGTTGGTTAGTGCTCAGAGTAGCTGTTTATGTGTTATGTCAGTAAATCTTTAGGACCAATCATGATTCTTTCAGGGTAAAGCTCATGAGAATAACTGCTTCTTTCTCAGACATGATGATACAAAAACACAGTATTTAGCTCAAGTTTTCTCTAATCAAAATAATGGATTATATAAAAAAGTGGGAATGGAGATTTAGTTTATATTCTATTATTTTATGTGTTATACGTTATTTTATGCAACATACATATATTATTATACTTATTTCATCGCCACTCTGTGACCTTCAGCTGCCTTAGCATTTATGACCTCGTCTGTCAACCTGTGACATGCTTCCAAACATTCATCTCATGAAGACACTGAAAGCACACACATAGGATAAGAACAGTGGCACCCGTGGGAAATCTAACACCAGCTCTGGTTTCTACAACTTAGCCACACTCTCTTTACAAAACTGCCTATTTATAAATAAGTAAGTAAGTAAATAAATAAATAAAAATTTAAAACGGGGGCACCTGGGTGGCTCAGTTGGTTAAGCATCCCACTTCAACTCAGATCATGATCTCCCAGCTCATGGGTTCGAGCCCCGTGTCGGGCTCTGTGCTGACAGCCAGCTCAGAGCCTGGAGCTGCTTCGGATTCTGTGTCTCCTTCTCTCTCTGTCCCTCCCCCACTCACACTCTCTCTCCTACTCTCAAAAATAAATAAACATTAACAAAAGACACAGAACACTATCTACTCCCCCACGTCCCAGATGTTGTCCACGCTGCCGCACACTGGACGATACTTACAGACTGTTTTGTGTGGTGTGGTCAAAGGGTAGGAGTTCGCCTCACACCAGCCCACCGGGAAGATGTCCATGGATTCCACGTCAACAATGAACTCTGGAGCAGGAGTCTGCAGGCCTGCATCAGACGAGTCAAGACAACAGGTACAGATTTTACTAAAAAGAGCCAGAAGAAGAAAGGAAACTACAGGTACCCCTGAGATGAGGAAAACTTTTCTGGAAGGTGAAACACAAAACTGAGAACAGTCTTATGACAGATATCAACACCTGAAACAGCAAGAGTGCATGAGGTTCAGGTAAAGCGGAGACCCCGAAAATCTAGGCCACTTCCTACTGGAAATGGCGGGAGGGTGACAAAGGGAATCTGGGAACAATGGGCAGTGGGGCCTGAAAGGCTGGCAGAGGGAATAAGTCTGACCCTTTCCTAAAAGCACCTTTAAACCTAAGGGAACACGGCCGAGCTTGGGCGGGGGGAGGGCGGGGGGCAAAGCACACATTTAAGTCACCAGGACAGAATTCCTCCAACACCAAGCCAAGTCTACCTTCAACCAAGGGAAGTTAGCATCATGGTTAAAAGGAACTAGTTAGGCACAGCAAGCCAGGTTTTGAGCAGTGAACACAGAGGATCCAATTTCCCTAGGGAACTTGTCCACTGATCAGTTTGACTGGGGTGACTTGTTTTGAGCTCCTTTGGGGACCGCAGACAGTTGTTGTGTTGCACAAAAGCCATTTATGCAGGAGTGTCTTTTTCAGTGGGGTCTGCCTGTCACCCCATTTCGTAATCCTACTAATGCCTTGTGATAAATCAGCACCAGAGCCAAGAGGCTCTGAAAGACGGAACAAATCTGCATGGGATACGAGCCAAGGTTTCGAGGAGCTCTGGCCACAGGGGATCAATGTGGGACCCAGCAAACTAGTGGCAAGAAGAAAATTCTACATAGACTCAGTAATCCTTTGGGAAAGAAAAAACACTGAAGGAAGACACTCGTGGACTAAGAATCAACAGCTAAGAACTGTGTTGATAGAGTTCTCCGACCACTTACTGCTGCTTGGCCCTGAGAATCAAGATGGAAACCACACCGTGGAACCCCCTCACATATCCGCCTTGCCACACATCTGATGGATTTTAAATCAGATCCCCTAAAACTTAACTTCATGAAGCTCGATTCCAGCAGATGCAAAACAGCCCAACCATTTTAACTTGGACATTAGCTGCTTTGGTTTCTACCCAGTACTTCTCATCATAAAGTAGATACTGTGATAAAATAGCACATTATTTGATCCGTGTATGTTCCCGATTCAGTGCTAAACCAATGTGCTGCTGCATATATAGTGCCCTGAACCCTCGGGCAGCAACACACACACACACACACACACACACACACACACACACACACACACATACACACACTCATCACCATTAGTCATGGTCGACGTTCGATTCCTTCTCAAAAAAAGCAATGCTATGACTCCCATCCTAACTGCCCTTTTGCCTAATTTTCCCATAATTTGAAGGACGTAAGAGGCTAAAGGAAGGCAAACAGGTTGATAGAGATTATTTCTCAACACGGTTGAGTGAATGGAAATCATTTCCGTCTCGCATGACGACTCAACCAATACTTAACCAACTTGCCAAAGACCCTCGAATAAACAAGATGACTTCCAAGACAGAAAAATAAAGAAACTCTCCAGGTAGTTTCAAATGTGGAAGCAATTGTTCCTGTCCCGAAGGGTACCCGAGTCTCAAGAGGGTTGAACGAAGAGGGTCACTGAGCTGTTTCCTCATTAGCTACAGGGCACATTCTCATCCTCAGCCTCCCTAAAATAGCACAGGTTTCTTAGCTACTCAACCACTGTGCTAATGCGCTGAATTCACCTACGACAAGCATTAGTACTTCCAGACTTAACATTTAGGTATAAATATGATTCTCAAGGTCAAAGGAGTACTTCAAAAAGAAGCAGCAGGTGAATTTTATAGCCTATTCCTTCTGGAATTATGACCTTCATCTTCCAATATTCTGTGGGTTCAAACATCTCTTGGTATTAATGCTTTAATATAAACACTCCCATAGCAATGTTTACATTAACATAGTGATATGGTTGTGTTTACCATACTTTGAAATTCTTTGATCATGCCCTCCCTTCAAAACAAATATTTATAAGCTACAATGTGTCAGCTACTATGTTTTCTAGGAACTTCTAGCCCTGTATTCCTTGTACTTCCAAATCTAACCCCCTAAAGCATCTATTAAATATGAACTGATGGAAAAGTGGATTATTTATCCCCCAGGGAAGTGTTCCTGACCCTGAAACTTTTCCAATCCTGTTCCGAATGATGGGCACCGATTCATTATTTCCCTTAATCAATCTGATGCAATGTCTAGATGTATCTGGCTGGACTCGGAATAATCTTTATAAAAAATAACCCACTATGTTCCAAGAGCAAGGGCCCACTGGCTTAAAAAAAATCCATTAAAAACGAATGCGATTCTCCTTGAGTTTCCAAAACTGTCAATGCAAAAGCTTGGAGGCTCCCTGCAGCAGTCTTTCCATTTTATAGGAAACCCTCTCGTGAACTGCACAAGACCAGGCTCCACATCTGACCTCACTGAAGCACTATCAGTCCATATGGGTTCTACTCATCCATTCTTCCCCAGACCTTTCATCTCAAAAACCACAGGGACGCCTCAATCTCTATCTACAGGGAGGTACTTAACTAAATTATGGTACATCATGCTGGGATATTCCACCACTTGTAAAAAAAGATGGAGAAACCTCTTTAATATGCTTATATGTAGAGATGTGTGCATGTATCGTTGAATAAAGGAAAAGCAAAGGGCAGAACGCAATGTGTCTATATAGTATGTTATCATCTGTTTACAAGGGGGAAATAACATATATTTATATGTGCATCACACAGATCTGGAAGGAAGCACAAAATACTAATACAGTGGGCGTCTGCTGGGAAAGGACCTTCGAGGGACAGGGCAGGAGGGGAGAGAGGCTCTGACCGCAGACACTTTCATGTGCTTTTGGCCCTTGCGAATGAGTCAACTAATTTACAATCACAGCCTCACTTTTCCCACAATAACAACGCAACACAAAACACGCCAAGAAGAAAGGAGTTGCGTGCATGAACCACAGAGGCCAGATTCGTAAAGGACAGGTGCCCGTCCCAGGGAGCAAAACCAAACCGCGACGACTCATTTCACTGCTGAGAGGAGCAAGGTGCTCATTCCGTGCCCACAGAGCAAATGTGCGGCGCATCAGCTTCCAAGAGCCACTTGGCGCCTTCGGAGAGGTCCGCGATCTGCTGTACCCTGAGACTGTGGCACCCGGTCAGTGGGTACCCGTCCCCTCCCACAGTCGCACCTGCCCTTCCCGCTGCACAGACTTCAGAAACAGAGTCCGACCGCGCCCCACACCTCGTAGGAAGGGAAGAAAGGCGCGAGGCGTTTAGGGAAGGGAGTCATCCTTGCTCAGAACCCTCGTGAAGAGTCAGAGGCCGCAGCAAACCGTGACAGGCTCACGCACGCGATGGAAAGATCAGGCGCCAGGGGGAAGGCGGGCTCCTCGGTGAGCCGGGAGCGAGCAGACCAGGTGCAGGAACCCCAGGGGCCAGGAGCCCATCAGCGGCCACGCCCTCCGTCAGCCGTGAGGCCCCAGTCCTCAGGAACAAGGGGACAGGCTGCGGCTGGCGAGACCAACACAGGACGGGAAACGGGCGATCTGGAGGGAAACGACCCAAATGGGACGCAGTGTGTGTGCGGAGAGAGACACAGGTCTGCAAACGCTCGCTGCACTGACCGCGGGCCCGACACTCTCCAGGGGCACAGGCTTTACAACAACCCTAAGGGACGGGGACGAGATCTATCCCTGTTTTAAAGATGAGTAAACTGAGGCGCAGGAAAAGCTCAGAGAGCAGCAAGTGGCAGATCCAGTTGAACAATCGAACTCTGGGGGCCTTAGGAGGAAGCATTTCAGGTGGCCTCTTTTCTTCGTTCCCCTGGGTTTGTTTCTGGGTTTTGGTTTGGTTTAGTCTGGTCTGTTCAGTGCCTGTCCCGTTGCTATCATGGTCCCCAGATCCCCGTGCAGAGTCCCCGTGGGGACGTGGGGGAAGGAGACGCATGCCCTCCACAGGCAGACGACAGGCCAGGGCTTCCGGAAGAGCAAGGCAGCCCCTCAGCATCGCTTCCTTGCAAACGGCAGGGCAGGAGCCCACACTCAGCACAGCCTCCGGGAGGCCACCCGCCAGCATCCCGCCCACCGCAGGCCTCCCCCACCGAGCCTGCGTTTTGCCTAAGACGTTGCCCAAAACAGGCAGTTAGTTCTGTAGTCGGCCACCAAGGGGCCCGTCTGTCATCGGGCATCAGCTCTGGGGACAAACCAGACCGGGGAGGATTGGACGCCGGTGCCTGCACACCCGCCCCACTCCCCGACCAGCCTCTCTCACTTCCGGGGAACGCTGCTCCGGGGCCCCGATGTGCTGATGCAGCTTCTCCACAAATTGTCTCACGCAGGCCATCCCTCTTTTTAAAGATTTTAAAACCACCCACGCTGGCTTGAAATATAATTACTTTCACATTTGCATTTTCCCTTGTTTGATTTTTGCAAGTCTCTGCGAAATGCTTATTAACCACCTGACTTTGCCACAAATTACAGAAAGGCTTAAGGGGCAGTTTTCCGCACCTGCTCTCCTGTTACGCGAGACGGCCTCGATGAAGCTGCTTTAGGCCGCGCCACACCTTGCCCATTAGATCCCAGCGCCCCTCACAAACCTGAGCATCCAGATCAATCATCTGGGGAGGATGCCTTTACTTTTTTGTTTATGTTTGAGAGAGAGCGCCAGGGAACACAAGGAGCAGAGAGAAACAGGGAGACAGAGGACCTCAAGTGGGCTCTGTGCTGACAGCAGAGAGCCCCATGGGGCTCGAACCCACAAACAGTGAGATCATGACCTGAGCTGAAGTTGGATGCTTAACTGACTAAGCCACCCAGGTGCTCCTGGGGAGGGAATGCAGATTCCCGGACCCTGCTTGGGACTCAGATGCACTAGGTTTGTGGTGGCCCTAGGAACTTGCAGTTTAAACTTTTTTTTATGTTTATTTTATTTATTTT